GTTTAAGGAAAGGGGGGGCGGGCGGGGGGGTTTGTGGTTTGTTGGCGCCTGTGTGTATATAAAAGGAAAGACAACTATTGTTACTTAATTGCTAAGCTTAGCTCGTAACACATACTCCTTCCCTGCTTCCCTGTATTTGGCAGATATTATTTCATGTTCTTATCATATTAATGCAAACTCTGTTGCCTGCATCTTCACTGCATGGTTATGTGTGTAGCGAATTAAGAATGCAATTCGACCCTGGAAGTGGCCGCGCCTCTTTTTTCCGACCCGAATTCTGGCTTCATTTATATATATAGACGCGCGCGCGCACCTAGCTAGTTTGGTTTTTAATTTAATCATCTTCATAAATCTTTATTAGAGAGAGATAGGCTAGCTATAGAGTTATAATCCTTCTGGTTCCCCAAGCAACAGGAAATTAATTTCTAATCAATTGATATATGTATGTATGTATGTATGTATGTATGTATGTATGTATGTATGTATGTATGTATGTATGTATGTATGTATGTATGTATGTATGTATGTATGTATGTATGTATGTATGTATGTATGTATGTATGTATGTATGTATGTATGTATGCATGTATGCATGTATGTATGTATGTATGTATGTATGTATGATCTCTTACTATACCCTATAATATTCCATTCCAATATTTCTATTATGTTACACTGGCTAGCTAGTGCATTATGCCGAAAGGATAATTATGCTTGGCTCACGGTCACAGTCACATTCACAGCAGCATGATGAGTTCATCTAACAATTCCCGTGATCATCCAGATCAAGTAAAAGGGATTCCACCTCCATCAACGGCATTTCATATGCGTCAATTGCTAGTCAGTTGCGCAGACCTCATCTCTCAATCTGACTTCTCCGCAGCTCAACGCCTTTTCTCCCACCTTTTATCCTCCAACTCTTCTCCTTATGGCGATTCCACTGAGAGGTTGGTTCGTCAATTTGTTCGAGCCCTTTCTTTCCGCCTTAATCGTCATTCCACCCCCACTAGCACTGCTCCTCTTGATTTCAGTCCTCCTTGTACTACTAATACTAATAACAAGATGATGATGATCAGCTATGAGTCGACGGATCAGGAGACTCTTCGTTCTTGCTACTTGTCCTTGAATCAGATCACCCCATTCATAAGATTCTGCCATCTAACTGCAAATCAGGCTATCTTGGAAGCCATACAAGTAGGGCAGCAAGCCATTCACATCATAGACTTCGATATCATGCATGGGGTGCAATGGCCTCCATTGATGCAAGCTTTGGCTGACCGATCTAACAACACTCTTCATCCCCCTCCAATGCTTCGAATCACCGGAACCGGCCATGATTTGAACATTCTCCAGAGAACTGGAGACCGCCTTTTGAAATTTGCCCACTCCTTAGGCCTCGGGTTCCAATTTCATCCTCTTCTCCTTCTCAACAATGATCCTACCTTTCTCGCTCTCCATCTCCCATCAGCAATTACTCTTCTCCCAGATGAAGCCCTCGCCGTGAACTGCGTGTTGTATCTTCACAGGTTCCTTAAGGATGATTCTCGTGAACTGCTCCTTTTTCTTCATAAAATCAAGGCCTTGAACCCCAAGGTAGTGACGGTTGCTGAAAGGGAGGCCAGCCACAACAACCCTCTCTTCTTGCAGAGGTTCCTGGAGGCCTTGGATCACTACACAGCTCTCTTCGATTCCTTGGAGGCAACCCTACCACCAAACAACAGGGAGAGACTGGCAGTTGAGCAGATATGGTTTGGGAGAGAAATAATGGACATAGTAGCAGCAGAAGGAGAGGTAAGAAGAGAAAGGCACCAGAGGTTTGAGACTTGGGAAATGTTGCTAAAGAGTGTAGGTTTTAGCAGCGTTCCACTGAGTCCCTTTGCACTTTCACAGGCCAAGCTTTTGCTAAGGCTCCATTATCCTTCAGAGGGTTATCAGCTTCGGATTCTCAACAATTCTTTCTTCTTAGGTTGGCAGAATCATTCCCTCTTCTCTGTCTCTTCCTGGCACTAGCTAGCTACCTAAATTAATTGTCTCTTCTTGGTAGCTAACTAATTTATGACCTCAACCGCTCATTAATTCCACTAAAGTTATAGACTAAGAAAATATAATGAATGAATGAATATTAATTGTCTAGTTCCTTTCTGCTTCCTGATCTTGCCATTACACCTTGCTTACTTTGTTAAATAATTGCATATGTATATATAAGCTAGGTAGCTAACTAATTCATGACCTCAACCGCTCATTAATTCCACTAAAGTTATAGACTAAGAAAATATAATGAATGAATGAATATTAATTGTCTAGTTCCTTTCTGCTACCTGATCTTGCCATTACACCTTGCTTGCTTTGTTAAATAATTGATATATTGTGAGTACCCACCCCCACAACGAAGTTCCATTATCAACATTGTATACTCACACACGCGCAAGCGTGCAGCTGTGATTGTAGCTATATATGTGCGCGTGCAAATGCGAGATATCATATCTTGAGTCTCTAGACAGATGGCTTGATCCATCGATTCTCTTGGCTTAACATTAGGCGATGCAATAGTAATTAACATGCAATGAAGGATGTTAAATTTTGGCTTCAGAGCGCACCGGCCACCTGCAGCCCAATATGGCTCCCATCTAATTCGCTAGAATTCAGTGCTCCCTGAGCAAGGCATGCATGTTTAATGCAACCTTTGATCCATCGGTTCTTTTTCGGGTAGTTCAAATTAATGAACTGATGTAGTTTATGTTTAATTACTCCCTATTTTTAGAATCTTAATTAGTGGTGTACGAGCTATGGCTCCGCCATATATTCGTATATTTTTCATAAAAAGCGAAGTCCAGGCGTCTATCTTTTCTAAAAACACAAGAAAATGAAATGGCTCGGATTAGAGCCCCCAAAGAAATTGACAATGGCAGTAAACAGGAAAAAAGAAAATATCATGATAAAAAAAGTTCAACTCGTGTCAACACGAGTTGTTGTTTGATAAATATATAACATTTATAATAAAAGGCTAGCCATCCGGGTTTAACCGGCAAATCTTATAACCTTTATAATAAAATCAAGATAACTTAAGAGATCAATGTTTTGAAACTCAACCCGATGATTTGACTAATGATCAAGATGATTTCGGGTCTATGCCAGGCTGGATTTCAACAAAAATAAAAAAAGAAAACTGACTTGACATGATCCTGGCTCACAACCTAATTAGCCTTGAAAAAAACAGTCAAACTTTTTTTTCTTTTTTATTATTTTTCTCTCAAAATAATGTCATTTTTATATTTTATAAATAAAAAAAAAAAGTTGACCAGAGCCAACCCCCTAGTTTGTGAACCAAGACTTTTCTTAGGTCAGGTTTGAAAAATACATGATAGATAAATTTTAAAACTTGTAACATGAGTTATTAGACCAAAAATAACATACATTAAAAAACTAAGAAGTTCAATCATTAACTAATCAAAATTTGAACATGGGGTGGGGGGGATCATTTACATGAAAGGATCTAAAATAAAAAATAGCAATTAAAATAATAAGAATCAATTACATGAAAGGATGTAAGAAAATAGTAGTTAAAAAAATAAGAATAAAAATAAATAAATTAAAGGGAAAAAATAATTATTTGATTGGAGGGTTAAATTGAAAAAAAATTAATAAAATGACAAAAAATCAAAAGAATGAAGATCAAATTAGAAAAACTAAAACATCACGAACTTGAATTAAATGATAAAATTGAAAATAACTAAAACATTGACAAAAGAGCTAAGCAAAAAAATAAAAAATAAAAAAATAACCAAATTAAAAAAAATTATATATGAAAAATTAGAATTGAGGATTAAATTGAAAATAAATAAAATTTTAATAAAAAGGTTAAGGACAAAAATAAAAAATGGGGAAAAAAGACCAGCTTCTATGTTTTTACATAGAAAAGAGAAAACAATGGGGAAAAAAGAAAGGAGAATTTTATGCCACCAAAAAGCATCATACATGACAACTTTTAAAATTAAATAATATTTAATTAATACAAAAGGACGTTTATCACCTTAATTACCCTGACAATTACAAAAAAAAAAATTTAAAAGACCTAAAGCCCCTAAATTATGGTTTAAATTTTTTGACCACATAAGCATACTTGTCAATTCCTTGCACAATAACAATCAAAAAGACTTATTCGCCCACCCTACTAAGTTTGTATTATTGGATTTTAGAGGTAATTGCATCATTTTACTATGTAAAGAAGATACAAAATATAATTATACCCCTAAATAAATTTTTAATAACTAATACATTATGTGAAAAGAAAAGCATATCCCTAGAATAAAGGCACGTAGATTTTTTTTAGAAAAGGCAAAATGATCAGTTCATTATTATAGTGAATAGAAACAAATGTCTACGGGTATAGTGAATTCATGCTATAGGGCAAGTTAAATTCTTTCTAACATAAAAAAAAAAATATTCATGTAATAATAACTTAAGTCAACTCGAGTTAACTTGAATAATACAAGACCTAGAATATGAGATTGGAATAATCTCGCAGAAATAAAAGTAAAAAAAATCACAAAACTCAAGGCTTAATAACTTAATGTTAAATGATGAAATTGAAAACAAATCAATTTAAAAAAATAGTGAAAAAACCTGGGTTTGCATGGCTAACCAGTGATTTGCATCATGAGATCGGGATATATAAAAAATTAAATTGTTTAAAATGAACCTAGAAAAAGAACTAAAGTTATATCAATTAAAAAAAATCACAACAAAAACTAAGGTAAATCTAAGTTAGCTCGACGAACTCGCGACCCATGATAAACGATGCTTAATAACCTAATGTCAAACGATGAAATTGAAAATTAAAAAAAACTTTGAAAAAAAAAACTTAAGTGAACCTGGATTAATTTGACTAGCCTACAACCCATGACATTTGATTGGGAAAAAATATTTTGAAAAAAAAACTAGAAAAAAATGATTGTAGTTAAACCAGTAAAAAAAATAGTCAACTTGGATTAACTTCATTACCTAGGATCCAAAACAACCCCACAGAAAAGAAAGTGAAAAAAATAACAAATTTTTAGGATCAATAATTTAATTTTAAATGATAAAATTAAAAAAATTAAAAAAGTATCATAAAAAACTCAAGAAAACCCAGTTTAACTCAATTATCTCATAACTAAGGACAAGATATTGAGATATCCTCACATAAAGAAAAGTGTAACAAATAATGAAGATCAAGACTTAATATTCAATGATAAAATTGAAAAAAAAATATCAAAAAAACAAAGTTAAATTGAGATAATCTTTTAAATCAATGACTCGAGTCATGAGACCAATTCTTTTATAAAAACTAAATGAAAGAAAATAATTAGGAGCTAAATTATAAAATAAAATAGAAAAAAATAAAAGTAAAAATAATAAGGACCAAAATTGAATAAAAATAAATGAAATAAAATGTTCAGGGGTGAAATTGAAATAAAAAATCAAGAACATTATTTAAAAGAATAATGACCAAATTGAATTGAAAAATGAAATAAATAAAATGTCTAGGGTTAAAATAAAATAAAATAAACTTCCAAAAATATTAAAAAACAAATAATAATTAAAAAAATAAAAATCAAAACTGAAATGAACATCAACTAGAGGATATATTTAATTTTTGGAAGGGATAGCATGAAAGCTAAGATGTGGAGGAAAAAAAAACAAATTATCGGAGGTCTATTGCCCCTCCGCCATTGATATACGTCATATCTCATTACTATGTATAAAGCAACATTATCATTTCCACGTATCAATAATTTTTAATTATTTTTATATATATTCAAAAATTTAATTGTCCTTCATTTAAATAGACAATAACCCAGAATATAAAAAAGATCTAATTTACACTAATAGATAGTTTTATTTTTAGAAATGTGTGTAAAAATAATACAATTATTTTATGGTGCATTTAAAGCTTAAAAATACTAAAAAATCCTTATACCTAGCTTTATATTTTTTTAAAACTTTTAAGGATAAGTTATTAGACTGCTAATTTAAAATGTAAAAAAACTTATTTAACCTCAGTTAATATGATAATAATAAATTAATTCTATTAAAAACAACTTCATACTCCTATCATATTATTTAAGTTTTTTAAGTAAAAGGTATTTTTATTACTTCAGTACTCATTGTTTTGTTGTAATGTGTGTTTATGTACACACGTTCGTACGTTGAAACATGGGATTTTTGGGTTTTTATTTTTTTTTCCCTTCCTTTGTTAACGTCTCCTCGTATACATCAATACATTCTTATTGAGGGTTACTTATTTATTTGTCTTATATTTAGGTATTGAGGACTCCTGAACCTTTTCTTTCTTTGTTGATTAATTAATTAATTACATACTGATTCAGTTAATCCAATCAATTAAATGTTTTGTATTCGCATGATAAGATAGGTATTATTATATTGACTAGGAAAACGACAATCAGTTTCCACTGACAAATTAAGTAGTTTATATATATGCCGCATCTTCTCTTCTTCTTTGCCAAGAGAGTTTATATATATTATTATATTGACTAGGAAAACGACAATCAGTTTCCACTGACAAATTAAGCAGTTTATATATATATATTGCAGCATCTTCTCTTCTTCTTAGCCAGGAGAGTTTTCTTTGTCTGTTAATTAATTAATTCGTGTAATATTGGGGTGCTGGTTTTCAATCTATTTTTAATGATCATAATGCATGCTAGCCTCCCTTAATTTTCATTGATCCAAATATAAATGAGGTAATTAATTAAGAGTGCTGTTTTTTAACTAATTTATACTGCTGTCTTAGTGTGTGTGTCTTCTCTCTTACCATTAATTAAGGAAAGGAAATGTAGCTACGATGGATCGGGGATGCTGAAGACTTGATCATCAGTTTGTCTGATTATTTTTTGGAAACGAACGATGAAGAGAGAGAGCCCACAATTGCTCCCCAAAACTCGCTCTATACATGCATGCATGCATGCATATAAACACACACGCAGGTGTTTTGTAAAGAGGGAATGCAA